TGCTGAGCAGAACCTTGCAGGTTCACCTTGCAGGAGCTTACAAGAACCAGCCCTTTGAAAGCATGACTGGAGATCTGAGCGATATAAACTCCAAAGAGTCATCCATTTTCCAGCTACACAGCTGCTTTATTCAAGCTGGACCCAGAGTTTTTTACGGTCTTCCATGTCACAAGGGAAAGCAGTGCCAAGACCCCTCTCCCACTCTGTGCTGAGAACAGGATGATCATGCTACGTCTGATCTGGAGTGACACGGAATGATCACAGCTTTCAGTACAAATGCAAGCACCAGATGCTCAGCACTTCTGTGGGCAAGGTCACTATATAATATTCATAGAGCCTTTCACACTGTAGTCCACTATCCTGTGCAGGAAGTTCAGGATGTAAGGCATCTTCCTTTCTGAGCAGCAAAGCAATGAAAAGTTTATATCGCTAATAGATAAAAGGATCTCCTTTACTTGCCCTGTACCTCTTGCAGTTTAAACTCTTCAGAGAAGTAGCAGTCTGTTAGTCTTGTGCCTTTCTCAGTTTTACTGTGACTAGGAATCAATACTAACACTGGTGCTTTCACTCAGTCCAACTGTTTCCCCACTGAAAAGCACCCAGCTGATAGGGTCACGCTGACTAAAGTATTAAAAAGTTTGTCAGCTGAGTAAGTAGAATCTCATCTCACAACACAGCCTTCCTCAGTAGAACCACAGGCTGTTAACAGACAGCTTTTTGCTAGGTTGAGGGGAGAACATGTATCTGCATCCTCATCTCTTATAAAAGTTGGTCAAGGTTGCCAGCCATGCCAAAAAGTACTATTTGAGACTCCGTTTCAGAAGTGATGGTCCCAAATGATCTGTCCGGAAATGCTTCCAGCTGCCACTGGAACACTGCCCACAAAACCAAGGCATTTCAATTGAATATCAATACCTGCTATGTCCACCTTAACAAAGTCAAATAAACACTCTATTTTACCATAGCAATAATGTTCTTCTTCTAGTGTATTTGTAAACAGCTATGACACTTCTTGGATGGCTTGTCACTTGATCTCAGTCTTGTGCTTTGTAACCTACCTGAGGCAATAGGAATCCCACAGAAATGCTCCTATTTGTTCCCTTTTATTCACTGATTACAACCAGAATCTTGGATGCAGTGCCAATATATGGATATATTCAGTAATAATAAGATTTGACATAGTAAAATGCCAGTTAAAAATACACGTTTAGCTAAATGTGATCAAATGGGACTGTGTTTATAAACTGCTAACATCTTATCCCTAGAAAACTTAACTGAATATAGAAATATAATTAAATCAGTCAATGTTTTCCTGGCAGTTGGAAGGGGCTCACCCCCCCAAAAATGCCAGGAATTAATTTGCCAATTTTGTATCTCTTCTGCGCTGCTGCTTCTCTCCCATCCCTCATCCCATATCCCATATGCATCTGGAGTATTTCTCCTTAAACAGGAGATTTACTGGACACATTAGTCTTTAAGGAGCCTTTAAGACATTAGATGTTGCTGATGTCTAACAAAATATTATAGAGGTTCCAGCTTCCCCAGAAAACTTTTAATTCTGCTGTTACACCTCTGGTTTAATAAAATAAAATGCATGAGGTGTAATGAAAGCCTGAACACTATAATAGTAGAGGCATTGCCTACCCTACCGGAGGCATCAGGGAAATGCAGTGGCTGTGATGGTTAAGAAGAATGATACAGTAATAGGCCAGTAATTTCAAGAGGATAAGAGGAAAGGGAGATAAATTGAGACATCAGGGGGAAAAAAAGTTGAAGACAGAATTTTATAGGGACTTCAGAGTCATGTGCAAGAAGACTACTGTTTTACTAAATCTAAGATTATAATCAGTCTATGAAATTCAAACTCAGCATAAGTCAGTGTCAAAATTTGACTGAAATCCAAATGAGTCAATATTTCTCTGTTTAAATGAACAAAATTAGAGCAGATGTGAGTCAACTAAAAGCATCTGTCATGTCCAGCTAAACTGACTTAAACAGGATTGGGTTTATGGGCACCTTTAACACTGAGCAATCTGCAGAACAGCGCACATGGATAAGAATTTAGTAAAGGACCAGGGTAGTTTGATTTCTCTCTTAAATTTTACATGTTTGCTCTGAACTGTGTATACTGTATTGCCTGTTCTGTTTGTGCTAGAATTGAATGGTAAAGATATAAACAATTTGTAAGGGTAGTATATACTGAGTGGTTTGAAACCCCTAGGGATTAGTGAATAATAAATATAGCTGGGCCTTTTGTCAGTACCCTAATGCTCTACTGTTTAAGTCACATATGATTATTGTGGCACTAATGTCATTTGGGGGGTGAAATGGATATTAAAATGATAGTACGTTTCAAAGAGATCCACTGAATACAAGAGAGCCTGATTCCGCTGCCACTGACTTCAGCAAGAAAGGGGTAAAGCTTTAATTCAGACAAACAGTATTGCACTATTTATATTTCAAGGATGGAGGATGTGAGACAAAGGAATTAATGTGATTTGTTTACAGCCCTGGAGGAAGTCAGTCCTGGAAGTTTTTGGTTCTGTTCTGTTCTATTCTGTTCTATTCAATTCAACTTGTGCCATTGCCCTTATCCTCACAACATCCAAGAACATCCCAAGGGTTCTTAAACAGTATGTTCTGTATTTTTCACTTATGATTTGCTTTTGAAAGACGCAGGATCACAAAAGACTTGGGCAAAAGGCTGGTTTTGGATGGGGATTTTAATTACTTTTTTTGTTGTTGTTGTTTCTCCATTTTGGATTGGACGTGGAGTCTGTCTCAAGAAGCTGCAGAAGGAAAAGGGAAGGGGATTTTTTGTTTTGACTGAAGGCAAAGATTTTGCTGTCCTACATATTTCTAGGACCTAAGCTGAGATAAAATCCCTGCACACTGTGCTTGCCACAGAGCGCGGAGACATTCAAGGTGGTCTTCAGACCGTGTGATTTAGAAAGTTTAATCTCTTGTACAAACTTTACCTTTGTGAAGGGGAGCTCCACTGTCCTTGACAAATGCACCTGCATACCAGAGGCCCAATACTTGAACTCTCAACAACAGCCTGCGTCCGGATGACTGAACACTTTAAGGCTAAGGACGGACATCTCAATTTCCATTTGAGATCATAGAATCATAGAATCATTTGGTTGGAGATCTGGCAGAGAACCAGTGTAAGGAACACAGGGCAGGTTAGCTATGCTTTTGGTAGTCCAGGATGTTGAGGAAAGGTGTTATTGGTGTCGCGCTATCTGAAGTATTCCGAGCGCTGATAATTTCACTTCTAGTTCTAAAGCATTCTTACAATCTAGCCAACAGCGACTGTGTGTGATAATTGACTTACTGCACACCGGGCCACGAATTCACTTTTCGGACAACAACTGGAGACTATAAAATGAGAGCACATCATTTTCTGCCACAGGGGACCTTCGGGTTCCTAGCCAGCAAGAACTTGCAGACGTTGCTCTCATTTGTCAGGACATGCATCTCCCACCAACCAAACACTTGCAAACTCCTCAAAACATTACTTTTCATTTCGCGCAGGCACAAGCCGCTCGCTAACTCAACAGGGCTCGGCTAGTTCACAGAAATCAACAGAATTGTCCACTTAAGGATAATTGTGTTCTCCAGGGCTAAACCCACAGCATGGTTTATTCTCGCGTTTGTCACTTTTAAGTGCCGAAGTCTAACACAAAGATGCCACCAAGCTGCCCATCACTAATGTTCAGCTCCAGCATAACCCTGTGGGGCACTGCAGCTTCCAACCCAGCACATGTGCAAAACTGGCTAATTACTGATATTCCCCAAATGAATCGGTCTGAGTCTCAAACTAAACTGGAGAATGTCTGGAGTGTCAAGTCCTATGAAGGATTTGAAAGTTTTTATTTAAAAGAAACCATTAAAATTAAGGTCTTGAAATGGTAAATATGATGCTTTCAGGAATCTTAAATCTGAGTAATTCCTCTGCAGGAACATAATCTAAATGTTGTGTTAACTGAAGAAGAAATCGTTAAAGAACCAAGCTGTTTCACTATTCCATTCAAATAACTGTTATTAAAAAAAAAAAAAAGTAGTCACTTGAGGGGTTGATAAGAAGTTTGTAGCTTTTTATGCAACACATGGAAGTTCTTTGTGCTAATATTTGGCTTTCTTTATTCTTCATTCTGAGCCTTTATCCCATCTTCTTGTTATTTGCTTGATATTGGCAAACTGGATTAGTATAGCAAATATAAAGCTGCAACACAAAAGAAGAGAATGTATAGTATAATCAGTTCAGAGGCTTGTTATTTTTTTTTCTTTCAGCTTAACAGTTCATGACTGTGTGGTCTTCTAACTGCACATCAGTGGTGGTCAAATATGGGAAAATAATGGAACTTCTTCAAAAGTGAAGCTTTTTACCTTCAATTCAGTCCATTTTCCAAGATAACATCATTTTAAAATTTTATTTAGATCTATAATTGTATTAAAATAAATTAAAATCATATTGTTATTTATCTGAAAGTTAACAGTACCTAAAATAGTGGGTTTGTTTGTGAGCGGTGGGGGGCTCCGCCGGGACCCGCGCAGGCTGCGCGGTGCGGGCCGCCTCCCCCGGTGCACTGCGGGGCCCACGGGCATGCGGGAGGAACAGGCTCTGAGACGGTGGACAGACGGAGAGGGGGGAAGGGGGACGTTTTTCACACCACTGCTGTGGAAAGGGAAGGGGGCAAGCAAATGTTTGGGGGTTACAGGGGGATGCCCCGGCTTGGGGTGTGCTTGGGGGTGGGAGGGTGGGTGCTGCTGGAGGGAAGGGGGGCGAGCTTGGGATGGGGAATAGGGGGGAGGAAAGGGGAGAAGAGGGAAGATGGCACGTCGGAGACGCAAGTGCTGCTGGTGTGGGGGGGAGGCAGGGTGCCTCTGGGCAGTGCGCATTTGCTGCGGGGAATGCAGCTGGCGTTGCCTGGAGGGTACTGATGGCGATGCCCTGGAATTAGATGCTGTACTGGGGGGAGAAAATGGGGGGACAGGGAGGATGTCTTCCTGTTGCAGATGCTGCACTCCCTGCTCGAAGTGGCGGGGGTGCAGGAGGCGGGGGGGACAGTGCCTCCTGCCTCCCCTCCTTCTCTAACACCACCACCCCTCCCCACACCCTTCTGCCTCTCTGTCTCCCCAGCCCTTGCTCCTCTTCCTGCTCTTCGTTGGACCTTTCAACTGCTTTGCCAGTTACAGCCGCGCAACCGAGCTCTTCTTGTGGGCAGCGCCCTGCAGCCTCCCAGCCCCCACTCTCCTTCACTTTGGCCTCCCGTGGCCTGGGGGGACAGTATGTACAGCTGGACAACCGCTCTGGAGAGCTGCACACCTCAGCTGTGGAGATTGATCGGGAAGCATTGTGCGTGGAGAGCAGTGGGGCCACCGTCTTTGGAGGAGCAGCTGCTGTCTCCTCCTCCTTACCCTCATCTGAGTCATGCCTGCTGCTACTGGATGTGCTGGTGCTGCCGCAGGAGTACTTCCGCCTGGTGAAGGTAAAAATCGCTATCCGGGATGTCAACGACAACGCACCCCGGTTCCCTGTGCCCCACATCCGCCTCTCAGTGCCCGAGAATGCACCTGTGAACACCCGCCTGCCTATCGAGCACCCCGCCCTTGACCCTGATGTGGGCACCAATGGTGTCCAGACCTACCGTCTGCGAGATAACTATGGTGTTTTCACCCTGGATGTGGAGGAGAATGAGAATGGGGAGAGGACACCCTACCTGATTGTCATGGGGGCTCTGGACAGGGAGACACAGGAGGAGTATGTCACGGTCATCATTGCTGAGGATGGGGGGACTCCTCCACTTGTGGGCAGTGCCACCCTCACTATTGTCATCAGTGACATCAATGACAACTGCCCCCAGTTCAGCGACTCACAGCTCAACGTCACCCTTTATGGGAATTCCAGTCTAGGGACACACGTGGTCACTGTCCATGCAGTAGACATGGACCTTGGATCCAATGCTCAGATCACCTACTCCTACAGCCAGAAGGTCTCCCAGTCATCCAGAGACTTGTTCCATCTGGATGAAAGCATGGGAACCATCACACTCTCCAGTAAAGTCAATGGGGACACTCCAAGGCTCCACAGGCTGATCATATTGGGCAATGGTCCTGGTTGTATCCCTGCCGTGATCACAGTGCTAGTGACCATCATCAAAGTCATGATGAGGCCACCTGAAGTTGTCCCTCGTTTCATAGCTAATGAAGCAGAAGGGGTGGTGTACTTAAAGGAACTGGAGCCTATCAATACACCGATAGCATTTTTTACCATCAAAGACCCTGATGAAAAATACAAAGTCAATTGCTATTTGGATGGTGATGGGCCTTTCAGACTTTCACCATACAAGCCATACAATAATGAATACCTTTTAGAGACCACAAAGCCTTTGGACTATGAGACACAGCAGCTGTATGAAATCTCTGTAGTTGCGTGGAACTCGGAAGGATTTCATGTCAACAAAATAATCAAAGTACAGGTTCTGGATGACAACGACAACTCGCCAGTTTTCTCTCAACAGCTGATAGAATTATCCATTGAGGAGAACAATGTTCCCAATGCTTTCTTGACCAAACTGCATGCTACAGATGCTGACAGCGGAGAAAGAGGGCAAGTGTCCTATTTTTTAGGGCCTGATGCCCCTTCCTATTTTTCTTTAGATAAAACCACAGGAGTTCTTACAGTTTCCACCCAACTGGACAGAGAAGAAAAAGAGAAATATAGATACACTGTCAAAGCAGTAGATTCTGGGTTCCCTCCAAGAGAATCAATAGCAACTGTCACCATCACTGTATTGGATAAAAATGATAATAGTCCAAGATTTATCAATAAGGATTTCAGCTTTTTTGTGCCAGAAAACTTTCCAGGCTTTGGTGAAATTGGAGTTATAAGTGTCACAGATGCTGATGCAGGGCAAAATGGATGGGTTGCCCTTTCAGTTCTGAACGGAAGCGATATTTTTGTCATAGATACTGGAAAAGGAGTTTTGAGAGCTAAAGTCTCCCTGGACAGGGAACAGCAAAGCTCTTACATTCTGTGGATCGAAGCAGTTGATGGTGGTGATCCTGCCCTCTCCTCTACCGCAAAAATAACTATCCTTCTTCTAGACATAAATGACAATCCCCCTTTAGTCTTGTTTCCTCAATCTAATATGTCTTATTTGTTGGTCCTTCCTTCTACCCTTCCTGGCTCTCCCATCACTGAAGTCTATGCTGTTGATAAGGACACTGGCATGAATGCAGTCATAGCTTACAGCATCATAGGAAGAAGAGGCCCTCGACCAGAGTCATTTAGGATTGACCCTAAAACTGGTAATATCACCTTGGAAGAATCACTGATGCAAAATGACTATGGCCTCTATCGGCTGCTTGTAAAAGTTAGTGATCACGGCTATCCTGAACCTCTCCATTCTACCGTCATGGTGAACCTTTTTGTCAATGACACTGTTAGCAATGAGAGCTACATTGAAAGTTTGTTAAGAAAGGAGCCTGATATCAGTATAGAAGAAAAGCAGCCACAAATATCCATAGAGCCTACACATAAAAAAATGGAGTCAGCATCCTGCATGCCTACCTTGGTAGCTCTGTCAATAATAAGCTTGGGTTCAATTGCTTTAGTAACAGGGATGGGCATTTACATCTGTCTAAGAAAAGGAAAAAAGCATCACAGAGCAGATGAAAACTTGGAAGTACAAATCCCATTAAATGGAAGAATTAACCTGCACATGTTGGAGAAGAAACCAATGGAGATTTCTAACATTTGACATTTCTTTGTGGATAAAAATCAACATCTGAAAAACCTTGGACAGCTCTGAAACACCTCGCTGTGGGTTGTATTGACAGACGTTGCAGTGAAGGACCGCTAATTTATAACTTAATATTATAATTGTAAATAGCTGTTTACAGTTTTTTAAATTGAAATTCAGTGTACAGCTTTTTTATGAAACCTTAGTACTAACTGCTAGCACCCTGTCTATAAAAACATGGACATCATTTGCAGCTTTCATAAATCAATAAGATCAATGATCATAAAAAGGGGAAGGTAAGATGATTCTTTAAACTCGTTTTAAAAGTCTTTTTAACCACAAGAGGGCATCAGACGCTCCTGAGCAGGGAACTGTTCGAGGTACTGTCCATGAGATAAACAGAGTATATTTTAAATATATTGGTTTTAATATAAAATGCACATTGGCATACAGACATTTAACCACAAAAAAAGAAATGTCTGTCCCGATGTATATATAATTAAAAGAATAAAGACATTACAATGCACTAGTAATAATAATAAAAAAGAAAAAACAGAATGTTTATTACCTCACAAGTAAAGCTTATACAGTAGGATAGAAAAGGCATTAACAAGAAGTGCAATTCCTGTTGAGCAAGAATGCAAGATGTTGTAATGAGAATCTGAACTGCTGTGACATATCATCTTTCATTTGCTCCAGATTTCACCCACATTACCATTTGCTCCAGCAATCTGCTGGTCATTTTTATGGCAAATTATATTTAATATGTCCTACAGCAAATAATGACAGAACCCCATGCTCATCCTCGTAAACATGCCAGATGCAAGGAAGCAAGGGAATGGCTAAATCTTTAGTTGTCACAGAGGTGGTGATATTTTTTGTACTTTGAGCAATCTGTCAGTAGTACTCCATCAGTTTGGTTGTGTAATAGATTTTTCACATGATACTTCTGAATCTCATCTGCCAGATGAAAACAAAAATTACTTCATATTCTAAGGAATTATAGGACTTAGTTTATTCTGACTTGCTCCTTTCTGGATTGGTATTTCATGTGAAAAATCTTGTTTCTGACTTTTGGCGACCATTCCTGGCTGCTTTTCATTGGCTTTGATTTTGGATTAGATCCAAAATCTAACTTGTAAGACTGGTGGCATATTTTCTTGATAATTTATTCTTTTCTGTCTCCTCTGCAACAAAGCAGCAGGTTTATCGGTGATGTATCACTTTCACTTCATTTTAAGAGCTGAGAACTATCTTTTGTATGATGATTATATCAAATTTCTCTGTGTGAACAAGATAAATTAATGTTGTGCTTCAAACTGATTATTTTGACTTCTGGCATCATATGTCTGTAATGTACCAAAAGTGTTTATATGTCTGCAAATTAAAGCTATATATTTTCATAATAACTTATTCTCTCTCTCCTAGAATTTTAATTATAAAGCTAGATTTTATTTTAGTTCTAAGATATGCATATTTCACAAATGCTTGGGTGCTGGCTATCTTGTCTGACATTTTAATACTTCTCAAAATTAGTACATTTCAAAATCATAAATGAATTTATGCTGCACTTCTTTAAATTACTGGCAAAGGCAATTGTATTTCAGCTGATGTAAGTGGGGCAGCAGATGATACCTGTTTTAAAAGTAGGGAATGCAATTTGAGGCAGTCTTTGATTTTTCTCTCTGCGACTGGCACATTACTTCACCTTGAGCTTATTGAAATGTTGGAGCTTCTTACAGATATTGTTTCTGCTTAGCCTAAGTTAGAATATTAATATAATGCTCAGGTTTTGCCATTCTACCTATAAGAAATACCTATTCTTTTCAGCTTAGAATATTTTCTGTTTATGCACAATTTGATAGCTGTGTTTCATGGAAAATTAATTCAGCCTGTCAAATGTTTGTGATTAATCACCTTTTTTCATTGATTTTCATGTTATTAAAATATGAAAGTGGTATGTATGCCTGAAATGCATTTGTCACAAAGAGATACAGTTTATTATCTCTGAAGAAAAATAACATTAATTTTTTGGAAATGGCTTCAGTATTACAGATGCTCTGTACTGCTGTGGTGGGGAAGCTAGATCCTCTGCATTTTTTTCTTCAATAAGGAAGCAAGGTAACTGAAAGAAAGACAGGATTCTTTTCATTGCTCTTCTCTTATTTCAATTAGCAGTCCAATATCTTCTCAAGACAATTTAAACAGGAGCAAACCCAAGACTTAAGAAATACAATAAAAACTTAAAACTGATCCTTCAGCGTATGTTCATGTGACACTGGGCAGATATTTTTATCCTGGTTTGACAAATACATAGTCTTGAACCTGTTTGATTAAGCTTACTGAGTTTAAATGTGCTATTCTTGTTGCTTTTCTGTTTTGTTTAGTTCAAGCACGTTCCTAATGTGTAATAAAATATAATGGTATGAGCCTGTTAAAACCAAAGTACTGCTCATGAAGCATTTAGCTCACACAATTTTCTACACATATAAAGAAAATTGGTTTGAAATCACACCTTCAGCCATACCAGCACCACTACTTGTGAAAAAGACTTTACCCTGAATAACGCTTCATAGAGTAAGAGCACATTTTTGCCTTCCTGTGAGTAGCCTTTGGGTAGGTAATGTCACTGAAGATCGCAAAATATGCAAAGATAGTTGGGGTTTTTTTTTAATTTCCATATTTTATGTTACTTAAAAACCATACAGCTGGTACCAGCAAGTAATAAGCATGATATTTAAGCTTGCAATGTTAAGCCTAGCAGTGATTAAGAAAAAGAAAACAGGAACCTTAAATTCATAGAACATGGGATTTTCTTCTCAAAAAATGCTCTTTCTCAGTGGAAAAATGCTTCATACTGGCTATACAGCAAACATTTCTGTGACGTTGCTGTTTTCAAAGTATCCCTTACAGAAATCCCTTTCACGTGAAAACACATTTTTAGTGAGTATAACTAAAGGAAATTAGACCCAACTATAAAAGGCCTATTTTATTACCACCATGTGCAGTGCACTTGCCAAAATATATGCAAATCTTGTTGACACTGGTAGTTGAGCTGGCACAAAAATAAATGTCTCATTCATTTACAGTATCCATTGAACAATTTTAGAGTGCATGGGTGGTCTTTGTTTATTTTGATAAAAAATGAGATTGTCCTAAGCTTTGTATTGTCAAAGCCTCCTAAACTTGCCATGCAAACGCTTTTTCATTAGAATTAACAAATTAAAAAAATAAAAGACAAGAAATGGGCAGTGAGCCCAGTGGCAGTGGACAGAGAAAATCAGCTCAGTCTTCTCTTTTTCTGTTTTATTTTTTCCTTTTTAAAAGAACTAAGAGCCCCATTCCTCTTTGAAGTTACTGTTTTGATACAAAATTAACCTAACACCTGGCTGAATATCAATAAAAGATGAGATATGAAAGCGTGGAAGGGGGATTAGAGCACATTGCTTTTTCTTATGTCAGCACTCAGAAAACAATCTTACGGGCCTTTTAAGTTCATTTTCCACTACCAAGGTTCTAACACGCAACTGTGCCAGACTCTGCTGAGAACAATGTAAAAAGATCCCACTATCTTACTAGGAAGTCTGATGGGAGGTACAGTGTTAGAGCAAAACTTGGCCTCCCTGAAAGCTATCACAAACCCTTGATTGCTGACTGGGATTTAATTGTAAGTTTTCTAACCCCAGCTGCTATTTTAAGGAAGTTTTATTAAAATACTCAAACATACGAAGAGGATGGAGAATCCGTGACTAGCATTTCATGGCCTGGTTCAAAGCAGTGAACTCTCAGGGAGCAGCCTAGTAGTTCAGCATTAAGTGGAAATACACAGCATCGTTGCCAAAAAGAAATCAGCTGAATGTGCGGAGTGTTCCTTTTCATGATTCAGGTGTGTTATCAGAGCCAAGAAGGAAGCTGACTGCCACCTTCCCTGTACTGTGCTTGTCACCAGCTTCTCACAGCCATTAGTTTCTATGTGCATTCCTTCTCACTCATGTAATTTACAGGGAAAGACAAAGCAAAACAATTAATTGTCAAATATTAGCCAGCTGAAACACAAAACCTTGATTTAGACAATTCTCCTTCAGAGCTGGGGTTGGAGGAGTGAAACACTTTTATCTTCCTTACCAAAAATAGTCTGAATTTAGAGATGTCTAGTGAAATTTTAAGTGGAAATAAAGGTATTCAGCACCTCCACTTCCTATAGTCAAGTCCTATACTTTTTATACGAGTAGTAGTTGCTCAGACATGTAAAAGTTGCATGAATTAGTTTTATGATTCATTTTAACAGTGTGGGAAATGTTCTGAGGAAACTCTTTGAAGGCCTCTAACTTACTGGTTCCTAACAGGTTGGTCAGAGTTAAGAAATTTCAAATAATTGGCAACATGTCATGATTTACAGTTTTATGAATTAAAAGCATGTGCAAAAATACCTGTGCAGGCAGTGTTGCTATTTCCTTTTCAGTCTCTGTACCAGACTGAACCAGCAGATAAGAAGATAAAACTGCCATCTGCATTCTAAGATGGAGGGATTCAAAGGTTTTGGCTCACAAACAAATGTAAAGTTAAATAGCTCTGTTTTTCACATTACGGAGAAGAAAAATACTTTTATTCTTATCAGCACAGGTTCATAGGCTGCATACTCTTTCTAACATGCTGTATACGAATGTTTTGGTGATTTCTGCCATATTTTCATTCCAGTTTCATCAGGGACTGAATTTTAAAGGCCAAATTTCAGCTCCTAAATATTTCTGATGACAGAATACGTTGAACAGATGCTAAGAAAACATAATTCTGAATGAAGAAATATAGAATCATTTACGGTGCATTCAGTCATTCATTCCACTGCTTGTGAAAATAAATATATGCTTAAGTGTTTGAGTTGCAGATTTTCATGTTGCTAGCTAATGCTGCTGGTAAGGAGTAAGATTTTAACTGAAATACATTATAGGGGATCATTTAAACTGTGTCCAAATTGAGAGGACTTGCATTTTAAGCATCAAGTCGGATGTTGCTCTACT